GGGTTCAGAAAGAAATCACGCTGTTGCACGGGGAGAAGAGAGGAAAGGGGAAAGAGAAGGAGAGGAGAGGCGGAGCCATAGAGAGAGCTCACCATCGAGCGCGTCCTCTTCTCCATGCAAGGATCTTGGACGTGAAGAAAAAACGCCATCTAGGATTTAGAAATCGCGCTGAAGCACGGGAGAAGAGAGAAGGAGAGGAGAGGAGAGGCGGAGCGTTACAGAGAGTTCACCGGTGAGTGGGGAGGGTTTGTGGTCGCGCGCCGCCGCCGTGCGAAGGAGGAATACCACGCGGGGAGAGAGGAAGGCGTCGACTTCGAGCAGTGGAGACGAGGGTCGCGTAATGAGATAAGGGACTGGGAGGGTGGTATCAGACTTGAACAGAGCGTTATCCGATTGCGCGTTATGTTTTAACGGGCCGGGCCGAACCAAACGACTATATCGTCAATCAATCCCGGACGTATTCAAATGCCATTACATTTTGCCGAACCAAACAACTTGCTAGTTCTTAGTCTTCTGCCAACTCTATAATACCCAATCATGTTAAAGTTGTTCACCTATCATGTTATATTATCCCGGTAGGCGCGCTGCCGCTGCGCCCTTATCTGTAAGCGTGTGAACAGTGAAAAACGTAAAAGTGAACAGTAAGGACCTGATTGGTTGATTTAGCACACCAAAAATTGGGCAAAAAAATTGCTATAGATTTAACAAGCCAAATGTATAGATAAATTTTGGTAGAAAAACAAATATTAGCCAAAATCATGACTTGCTAAATTTTTAGCATGACAAATTTTGAAAGCGAACCGATACCTGAAAAATAGGTGATCAGTGCGGAAAGCGGTGAACAGTACTAAGATATAAGCATATAATTAAAATTCATATGAACAGTGCAAAAACACTGTTTGATACGGTAGTGAACTTAGCATGTTATATATGATAACATAACCCATTACTCAATCAAGCACACATTATGTTAACTCGGTTAAAACTAAGTTACATATCTGAGAGGGGTTCTAAAATGTGCTATACGAAAAGTCACATGCATTTAAAAAATGGCAATTTATTCTAATCAAGTTATGTCATGTCTAAAGTTGACAAATAAAAAAAATCACATCTCACGCATGTAACAATCAGATCTAGAATTTTATATCTAAACTTTCCTATTTTACATCTACAATTTTATATCTATTAGCATCTCTAGAAATAATATATGATTCTAACCGCTTGATCTAACTAAATGACGGTTCAGAATTTTAGAAGTATCATAATAAAGTTTTTTGTCGGAGACCATAATAAAGTTTTCTTCATGTTTCATAGACCATAGTTGATTTTGGTACGTTGCAGACTTGCACTAAGGCCCGTTCGTTTCGCTGAAAAAACAAGCCGTGACACTGTTCCGACTGATTTGTTATGAAAGAAAAACACTGTTCTGGTTGAAAAAACAAGTTAAAAAATATGAACTATAAGATAAGCGAACAAAACCTTTAGAGCTTATTTGGCTGCACGTAAATCCACCTTAATTCCTTCCAAACCACGTATAATTGAAGTGGATTTGTGTGCAGCGAAACCTTAACCAGGCCTGGCCGAGGGCGTCTGGGCTCGGTCCGCCACGCGCGGCAAGAGGGGGCAACAGCACGTGCCCGAGCCCGACCGCGGTCCACGGCTCGGTTACTCCGCGCACGCCCGATCTCGTCGCGAGCGCACGCACGCCAGTTCCGGTTCCTTCCAGATTTCAAAGAGAGAGAGAAGAAGTGAAACGGGCAAATCCACCCACGCGAATATACACAGACGGCGGGCCCCGAACTGTCGCGTGGGGGCGGGGCACGGTACGGTCGGGACCATCGAGTGCTCTCTTGGCTCTCGTGGGGTGTGTGGGGTCGTGGAACTTTTGGGCCAAGCCCCTCCGTACTACGCCTAATTCGTTACGCGCGGTGCATGGCTTTTGGGGCCGTTTCACCGTTTGCTTCGTTTTGCTAGGCTGCTACGGCATATGGCAGTTGGCCGGACGCGTCCCTTCTTCTTCTTCTTGTCGGTGGATTTTTGCGTGTTTCTGGCGTTCAATTAGGCGTTGTGATGTTACATAGCATGGTCAGAAGTGGTTGCAACTGGTATGTGCTCAATAAAGCTGGCAACCATGTACCGAGACAAACGCATTATACACACGTCACGACCAGGAAAGACTATAGTCGCTTTCACCATTAAAACTTTTCTACATGACATGCTCCAATTTAGAACGTCAACACCAAATCCATCCAAACGAATTAACTTGGCAACGTCGTATGCACTATGAAATGCGGCTCTTTTACAACGCTCGGTTTTTTTTGCCCCCACCCCCCCTTTCTGTGCTGCATGCATAAAAAGAATGAAACATTTTTTTGGGGTTTACAGGTCTCGGGCACTTGAATTTTCAGTGCCAGGCACTAAAAGCACTTGATTTTTTTTTCTTGAACTTGAGCGTGGAATATTACTAGCTACGCATAGTTCATCTACATCTAATGTGTTTTCGACTTCTATAAAATACCCTCCATCAAAATGAAAATGCAAATCTCACTTTTTGATGTTAATCAACCTCAAACATAAGTAGGTTTCTCAAGAATAATATCAACATTTATATCTCTTTATATCGATACCTGTATCTCTACCTATACCTTATGTTAAAAAGCCAAAATTTCATTTCATTTTTTCCATCACCTATACCTAATTACCCGAATAGTGGAGAGTTTCTTCCATCCCGCTTTTTTTTACGATGACAGATACATGTTCTGATTCCATATATGTGTTGGATCGCACTCTCCATATTTCGTATGTGATCCAGACTCATGATTTGTTCCTCTATAGGACAAGTCAACTCACATCCAACAATGATACCGAGTCGTATTGGATTCTATTGCAACACACGAATTGGATTCTGTTACGACGCACGGAAACATTTGCTATTTATAAAATATATTCTATAAAATCAAGAATATTTATTATGTATAATAAATATTAATATGTTTGTTGTTTTACTTAAATATAGAATCGATCGTTTTCTTAAAAAATTCACGTTCTTTTTTTGTGAGACTCAGTTATAGATGCAGACGTTCACGTACACGAGCGCACTTTAATCTCGTATCATCTTGCTAAATACTCAAAACACTCAGAATTTCTCAAGAAGGGTTGGGTTAGCTCTTAAGAAGAATAGAAAGTAATGTTTAGTATGGTTCTAATTTTGCATTTTTTGCTATAAGTCCATAAAGAAGCCGAATTCAGTGAAAAAATAATAACTTTATCAGCTTCTAATCTATTTTAAAAAGATAAAAATAACATCTCGCTACGAACGGAACCGCTCGGAGCTCTGCAAACAGCCCTTTCTATAACACGGAAGAAGGGAAGAAGTGCCGAGGAGTTTGGTCGCCATAGCCCACGCCCACCCAGAGGAAAGCTACAAGAAACGACAATGCAGATAGAGCTGGCACGGAACCCTAGGTAGACGGCCGGTCCTTCCACCGAAATCCTACCAAGCCCGAGGGCCTCAGCCGAAAAGCGCCGACCAGGGAGAGGGGCTTTTGCGCTCCCAAAGCCAAAACCTCCCACACTCTGGACTCCACTTCGTCCCCGCCGAGCCCTCCACGCCGCTCTAGTACTCTCTGCTCCCTCCCTGTCTCTCAGTCCTCTCCACACCACTGCCTTTCTCTTGTTTTTGCTCGCAAGAAAAAGGCGAAAAATCCTACGCAAATCCGCCGTCCTCTCCACTGCCGAAGCTTCTGGGTCCTCCTCGCCGCCGCTACGCGTGAGATCGGCTCGCCGGCGTCGGTAAGCAGCCCAAAGATCCCTGCTTTTTTCCCCAGTCTTCTTGTCCCCCGTGGTTGGTTTCATTGTACTGTTTTCTTTGAGCCCGTGGGGGGAAAATGGTAATGCCGGTGGCCGCGACCGCGGTTCCTTGGTCCGTCCCTGTTTTCCGGGTAGCTGCGGGATTGGCGCTTGCTCGGCCGGCATAGCACGGCGCGGTTCAAGCGGTTAGGCCTTTAGCCTTTAGCCCGCAGGTGGTTTCTCTGTGCTCTTGAGTTGTTTAGGGTGCTAATGGTGTGGGATCTGGGATTTTTGCTTCCTTTAGGTCATCGTTGAGATGAGGGCGGTAGTGGGGGGAAAAGCCGGAAAAGAGAAGGCTAGTGAGTTGGAAAGGTAATAAAGCTGTGTAATTATTGGTGCCCATCTGTACCTCTTGGCTTCTTGCAATGTTGGGGAAGGTGCTGGATCTTTTGCTCGTTTGTGTTTTTAGATTTGTTATTAGTTTTAACTTTCATGTGCTGTTGTGAGTTCGGTCTACTACTCTTCTTCCCCCCAAATTAAGAAAAATGTTTACTTCTTTATAAATCCTTTGGTTTCTCACTTTAGTAGTTGTCGAGGCTAGTTTACAGTCTAGTTTATTGAGATTGTTTCAATGGACTAAACTCTTGTTCTTGGTTTGGTGCGCATCTACTAAAGATGGTGACTTTTCAGGTTTTTTCTTTCTTTTTTGGTAGTGCTTCGCTTAGTCACTATCCGGCTGTTGCAATGTTTACTGAATATCTGAAGTCAGATGACTGCAGTTCATTGGTTCATTGGCGGGACTTAAATTGAGTGAAATGCAGTTCCTTTACACTACCTGTTTGGTTCATTCCAGTTACATACTTGCTGCAGGTCTTTTTCCCTGGCTGGTGATGTAGAGTTCATTCTCTTAAGTCGAATGGTTTCCTCCCACAAAGCACGATGAGGAAATGTTCAAAATGCTCGTAGCTGTGTTGCCTGACAAGTTTATTGCAGAGGTAGTAGTTCCATCTCAATTTCATATTATTGTTCATTAATGCTCTTCCCTTGTAATAGCTATCTAAAGCCAGTTGTTTACTTTTGTTCTGTTTTAGCTGGTCTAGGACAAGTGGACAGCTGGGATTTCTTGGCACTTTGTCAAGTCAGTGAGTAGAAGTTTAGGACTTTGTCAAGTCAGTGAGTAAAAGTTTGGTGGAAGATCATCTCCGTTCAAGATGATGCAGAGGCCACCCCTCCGTCCGGAGGAGTACTCCTTGAAGGAGACCTCACCTCACCTTGGTGGTGCAGCTGCTGGTGACAAGCTCACCACCACCTATGACCTGGTTGAGCAGATGCAGTACCTTTATGTAAGAGTGGTAAAAGCAAAGGAACTTCCAAACAAGGACATCACTGGGAGCTGTGACCCGTATGTTGAGGTGAAGCTAGGAAACTATAAGGGCCAAACTCGGCATTTCGAGAAGAAGAACAACCCAGAGTGGAATCAGGTCTTTGCATTCTCAAAGGAGCGCATTCAGTCATCAGTTGTGGAGATTGTGGTCAAGGACAAGGATCTTGTCAAGGATGACTTCATTGGGCGGGTTATATTTGATCTGAATGAGGTCCCAAAGAGAGTGCCACCTGATAGCCCATTGGCTCCACAATGGTATCGGTTGGAAGACCGAAATGGGCACAAGGGGAAGGGAGAGTTGATGTTGGCTGTTTGGATGGGTACTCAAGCTGATGAAGCATTCCCTGAAGCATGGCATTCTGATGCAGCCTCCGTCCCTAGCGATGGCCTTGCAAGCATTAGATCAAAAGTGTATCTTACTCCAAAGCTTTGGTATCTCCGTGTCAATGTCATCGAAGCTCAGGATCTTATACCAAATGACAAGACCAGGTTCCCAGAGGTTTATGTCAAAGCAATGCTAGGCAACCAAGTACTTAGAACCAGGGTATTTGCGAGCCGGACATTGAATCCAATGTGGAATGAAGATTTGATGTTTGTTGCAGCTGAGCCATTTGAGGAGCACCTAATTTTGAGCGTAGAGGACAGGGTGGCCCCAGGAAAGGATGAAGTAATTGGAAGGACAATCATTTCACTGCAGCATGTACCCCGGAGACTGGATCACAGGTTGCTAACCAGCCAGTGGTATAACCTTGAGAAGCATGTGATTATTGATGGTGAGCATAAGAAAGAGACCAAGTTTTCAAGCCGAATTCACTTGAGAATTTGTCTTGAAGGTGGATATCATGTCTTGGATGAGTCAACACATTACAGTAGTGATTTAAGGCCAACTGCAAAACCTCTGTGGAAGCCTAGCATTGGCATTCTTGAGCTGGGTATTTTGACAGCACAGGGCCTGTTACCAATGAAGACCAAGGATGGACGTGGCACAACTGATGCCTATTGTGTTGCAAAGTATGGACAGAAATGGGTGCGTACTAGGACTATAATCGACAGTTTCACTCCCAAATGGAATGAACAGTACACCTGGGAGGTGTATGACCCATGCACTGTGATCACAATTGGTGTATTTGACAATTGCCACCTGAATGGCGGGGAAAAGGCCAATGGTGCCAGGGATACCAGAATTGGGAAGGTCCGCATCCGCCTCTCGACACTTGAAACTGATCGGGTGTATACCCACTCATACCCTCTTATTGTTCTGACACCTGGTGGCGTTAAGAAGATGGGTGAGGTGCAGCTTGCTGTCCGTTTCACGTGCTCATCACTGCTCAACATGATGCATCTGTACTCACAGCCCTTGCTGCCCAAGATGCACTATGTGCACCCGTTGTCCGTGATACAGGTGGACAACCTGAGGCGCCAAGCCACAAACATTGTCTCGACAAGGCTGGGCCGTGCAGAGCCACCACTGCGGAAGGAAATCGTAGAGTACATGCTTGACGTGGACTCGCACATGTGGAGCATGAGAAAGAGCAAGGCAAATTTCTTCCGCATCATGGGTGTCCTGAGCCCCCTGATTGCAGTGGCGAAGTGGTTCGATCAGATCTGTCTCTGGAGGAACCCGTTGACCACCATACTGATCCATGTCCTCTTCGTGATACTGGTTCTATACCCAGAGCTGATACTGCCCACAATCTTCCTCTACCTGTTCCTGATCGGGGTGTGGTACTACAGGTGGCGGCCAAGGCAGCCGCCGCACATGGACACCCGCCTCTCCCATGCAGAGACTGCCCACCCCGACGAGCTCGACGAGGAGTTCGACACCTTCCCCACCTCCCGCCCGCCGGACATCGTGCGGATGCGCTACGACAGGCTGCGCAGCGTTGCTGGGAGGATCCAGACCGTGGTTGGCGACCTCGCGACGCAGGGCGAGCGGCTGCAGTCGCTGCTGAGCTGGAGGGATCCAAGGGCCACCGCGCTGTTCGTGGTCTTCTGCTTCATCGCCGCCATCGTCCTGTACGTCACCCCGTTCCGCGTCGTGGTCTTCCTCGCAGGCCTGTACGTGCTGAGGCACCCCAGATTCCGCCACAGGATGCCATCTGTCCCGCTCAACTTCTTCAGGCGTCTGCCGGCGAGGACCGACAGCATGCTGTAGGCGCGGCAGGTGCACCTGTCGATTGCAGCTCACAGATGGTTACTCTCTCTATCTTAAGTGTATCCGAAAACAATGAACTGCTAGCTATCGTCGGTACTTCTGTAGCTTCTCTCTGTTGCATGGTTGGTTATGTATTATTCAGATGGTTGTGAACCTTTCCTGTAACAACCGAACGCATGATGCGTGACTGTGACTACGTATGGATGCATGTGTGATGCTTGAAAACTCTGGGCTGGGCGTTAGTTATTGCTTTACCTACTTGTTCAGCAACAGTGCTGTCAGCTAACGTGGTTCTCTACTGCTGCATGTGCATCGTGTCGTTTGGTTTCCAGCTCAATTTACCAATTTGCTACGTGATTGATTTCAGTATTAGTTAGGAAATAGTACTGATCTGAATTCCAAACGAATTATGAATAGGAGACCCTGAGAGTTGTCTGCTACGCAGACTGGAACTAATTGGGTGCCAATCTAAGCAGGGGCTGGTTGTTTTACTTCTGAACTTAATAGTGATGTCATTTTTTTTTTGCTTGCTGACTTACAGCCTGTTCACTTATTGGTTTCAGCCAGCTCAAACCAGTCAGCTAATAGTGTTTTTCTCTCATAATAAACTAGCACCAATCAGTCCAAACCAACACAGAAACCAACCAGCGAACAGACCGTCAGTGATGTCAAAGTTGAATTTCCTTCCACGGTGCAGCGGCAAAACTTCCGAACGGTGCTGCTGCAGTTTTTCTTCAGAATGCTCATGGAAGGCTCTGCTGGTCTGCATGTGGGCAGAGCATGGCCCAACTGGTTGTCTTGGAAAAAAAAAAGTCAGGTCCAACTTTTTTTTGAAAGGGGGTCAAACCCTTTTTTTTTTTGACATGGTGTCAGGTCCAACTGAACGCTCTCCATGAGATGTCTTGGGCCTGTTTAGTTTCCTTTCAAAATACTAAATTTTTCAAGATTTTTCGTCACATCGAATCTTTGGACGCATACATGAAGCATTAAATATAAATAAAAAATAAAACTAATTACACAGTTTAGACGAAATTCACGAGACGAATCTTTTAAGGCTAATTAGACTATGATTAAATACTAATTGCCAAATAACAACAAAAACACGTACCGTATCGTTTTGCCAAAAATTTCGACAACCAGAGCCGTCCGTACTTTGGTTTACATGTAATCGTTGCATTTGCACTCACGAGTCAGCGAGTCACAGGTGCCATTTTGACTGTGACCTCTGACACAATTTTCATCGTTATTAGTACATTTAAAGCCCACTCTCCGTGTGATCCTAAATCCGACACTACCTCGTCTTAAAAAAATACAATTCTGGGTGCATTTTTTATTAAAATGTCTAAAATTTAACACACCAAATAAATAATATTATAAAGTTTTGTGACAAATCTAATAATACCTATTTAATACGATAAATATTAGTATTTTTTATAAAATCTGATTAAACTTGACATATTTTAACATAGTATGTATGGGTGTGTTTGGTTTCTTGGCATATTTCTAGCTTAGGTAGCCTTAGTCTGTTTCCACCAAGTAAATCCCTAGTTGTTTGGTTGCCTGTGTTATCTAAGCCTGACTAGCAAATGATGTGTTTGGTTACCTGGTTTGCTTTGCATATTCACCCCTTCTTAGACTTGGTAAGTTTACCCTCTTTCAACATGTTCGCTTGTTGGTTTCAGTCAGGGCTTATCAGCCAGCCAACAGTGTTTTCCTCTCACAACAAACCAGCACCAGTCGAGTTTATCAGCCCAGAAACCAACCAGCGAACCTGCCATTTGAGGGATTTCATCGAAGGTGGTGAGTGTGTAGGAGGCACTAGCGAGCACCTCGACCATCACCTGGCCGAGCACGACGAGCACATGGGCGCGCACGGCAGTAGCAGGAGGTGGTTTCGTCCATGGAATCTGGGGGTGTCGAGGAAGCGCTTCTCCTCCGCGAGGAAGGCGACATTCACTGAACAAACTCCGATCTTGATGGAGTCATGGAAGTACGCTGCGGCTTTAGCTTCGCTTGGATCGCTAGTGCCAGTGTAAGGCGGCGCCCATCAGTGGGCCGGACCGGCTCCATCAGTCCGACCTGGGCCGCATCTCTCGAGCCAAGGCCGCGAACGGGATCAGCGAAGTGCTGCCGTGCTAAGGGACGGCGCTCATGGAGCAGGGGCGGGAGCGGCGGCTCGGAGGCGAGGGTGGAGGGGCGAGGACGGGAGCTGCGGCGCGGCGTGGGACGCGAGGAGATGCGGCTCCATATGATGAGGAGGAGAAGCGGAGGTGCGGCGTCGTACGATGGTGAAACGGGGTGAAGGACCGCAGGAGGTGAAACGAAGGATCCTTGGCTCAAGCCTGGCCCTAGGAAAACAAGCTCCACTTGCGTTTTTTCTAGCCAGGCCAAGAGCGTACGGATGGCCTCCCAGGGTTAGGTCACAGCCCACCTACAACCAATCACACAACCAACCAAACAAGTCTATTTTAGCTTCAGAAGCCAGGCCAGAAGTTGGCCACCTACCCAAATACACCCTTTTAGTGATGGAGGAAGTATCTCAAAGGCGAATCATGGAGCTCCTAGGTTCAGTAGTAGTCCCATCCTCAAAAAAATAGGTAAGGATCAGAGTGTTCTCACTGTCCGAACCAAATGAGTTCTTAAGAGACTCAGAGTGTTCCGTTCCATTGCACTAGTAAACCCTTCTCTTTCCCAGCATATGGCCAAATCAGTCTAGTGATGGTCAAGGCATAAAACTCAAACCTAGGCCAGATCACCTGACACATGTCCAGCAGAAGTCCGGAAATTTCACCAAGTCCGGGTGTTTCAACTTTCAAAGTCCGTTCCTTGCTGCAATATCAAAGCTAGCTGGTGACGGGCATTTTGTTTCCAGAATCGAAGGTCCCAGGAATGTGCTTACTGGAGTTAGACGGAAGCATTTGCTTCCCGATCACTGTCTGTCATGCTCTTTGGTCGCTGCACTGCAGCTGCAATTACCATGCCATTCAGCCGTCCCTTTGCCATGTCATGTCATATTCTCCTGTTTGAATTGAACGTTCACAGCTCGTACGCCCCTGTTGTACTTCGGGGGCGGCGCCTAGATTGTTTTTTTTTCATTTCCGCTTGTCTGACCGCTCGGACGCTCACGTTCGTAGGCCGTGACGTAAGCCCAAACCATTTCCTCCTATCCGCTCGTCCTGGTCTCGAGTCATGCAGTTTCTAAAAAAAAAAATCACCGTAGCGGAGCTCGGCCAACGCACAGATCACGCTCTACCCACACACATCTCGTGCTCTGCCTGTCCAGCTCGCCGCGACCAGGTGTGGAGCTCGCCCGTGTGCAGCTCACGGCAGCCCGGGCGGAGTCCGCTCGTGCATATCTCGCGCTCCACCTGCCCAGTTCGCCATGGCCGGGGCGAAACTCGCCTGTGCGTAGCTTGCGATGGCCGGGATGGAACACTACACGCCGACGAGCCTCCATTCTCCTAAGCAGCAATGAGACATTGCACTGAAGCCGAATGTTGCAAGTGTTTGTTTCAAGTATTTCAAATGTTTCAGAGGTATGTTGCAAGTGTTTTATATTGATGCGGCAAAAGTAGATCAGGATGTTGCACATGTTGCAATGGTGTTCCAAGTGTATGTTCTAAATGTTTCATCTGTTTCAGACGTATGTTGCAAGTGTTTCATCTAGATGTAGCAAAAGTAAATCTGAATGTTGCATATATATGCATGTTGCAAACGTATGTTTTCAAGTATTTCAGGTGTTTCAGACGTATGTTGCAAGTGTTTTATCTGGATGTTGCAAAAGTAGATCTAGATGTTGCATATATATGCATGTTGCAAACGTATGTTTTTAAGTGTTTCATACGTATGTTGCAAGTGTTTCATCATTTGGATGTTGCATATGTTTTGCAATAGCTACATACGGGTTTTCCTATCACTACTGGATTCAGGCGCTTTGCTGAGTGCCTAAGGCTACTTTGCCCTCGGCAAAGCCTTTGCCGAGGGCAGCACTCGGCAAAGAGCCCCCGGTAAAAAAATTCATCGGCAAAGAATTCTTTGCCGAGCGTCTTTTATCGGGCACTCGGCAAAGTCTTTGCCGAGTGCAATCTCGGCACTCAGCAAAGAAAAGTGACCGTCACGACGCCGGTTGCGTTAGCACATGCTTTGCCGAGTGTCACGTCAGAGGTGCTCGGCAAAGATTTTTTAATTTTTTTTCAAAATTTTTTTGCCGAGTGCCCTACCGGGGAGGCATTCGGCAAAGATTTTTTTTATTTTTTTTAATAATTGCTTTGCCGAGTGCCCTGCCAAGTCGGCGCTCGGCAAATATTTTTTAATTTTTTTTTCGTAATTTCTTTGCCGAGTGCCCTGGCCCTGGCACTCGGAGAATTCCTAGCTTTGTCGAGTGCCAGGGTCAGGGCACTCGGCAAAGAGGCTAATTTTTTTTATTCTATATTCACAAACACAGCATATAAGAGATATATATAACATCTGCGACATCACAAACACAATATAGCACATATATATCACATCCATCTCATCACAAAGGCAATACCACATATATATCACATGTCGATCACACAATATCTCACATACACGACATCACAAGCATAATAGGTCCAATATCCATCGAAACAAGTCGATAGTTGATCACAGTGCATCACATGTCCATCAAGCGGTGAAAAAGAGATACAAACTACCGGTGGGGAGGAAACTGAGTGCTTGGTGAAGGAAAAGTGTCGTCACCTGCTTGCGCCTGAGATGGGTTATTCGAACCTGTCGACGGAGGCTGCATAAAGGACAAGAGATTGCATCTGTTAGAGTGGTCATCTAATGAAAGCACTAGTCGAAGCAATTTGGTTTCATACTCACTGGACTAGCTATAACTGGCGGCGATGGTGGAGCGAACTGTGGCACAGCTACACCGTGCATTTGCCCAAAGTTCTGCAGGAACGTCGTAATCTCCGCCAGCTGCTTGCTCTGCCTTTCCCGCTCGGCCCGCTCGTCCTGTCTTTCCCGCTCGG